AGAATACAAACACATAGAAAAGACAGCAAGTGACAAAAAAACCTTCAACATATCCTATGCAGAAAATTTACTTTTAGCGTACTCCAGTTTTTGTGGTAAAAACAGAAAAATTTGGAAAAATTCGATTAACACTTGCTCATATGTGATGAAAAAGAAATTATTTTAATAAGAATCTTTTTCTCCAAATTCAAACAAACACTGACTGGAATTCAGATTCTTATATTCGAGTATCGATCCTTACGTATAAATTATTCGCAATAATGATGCCAGGAAGCTTCAGACACAACTGAGGAATATTTATCCTTTCAATACTATTAGCAAGTGCATGTAAACTCATAAATATTACATTAGGTTCGGAGCTATTTGCGAAGGAAGCGAATAAGATCATTTTTAAACCTGATATTTCATAGACTTGACTCATAACATTGCAAGATAACGAATCATGCACAACACAGGGGCAACTGTGCACAATTGTTTAAAAAATGAAGGCCTATGCCACTTATGTCTAAGGTTTTACTAATTGGTCATGCAATCCACCAATGATGAAAATAGCACAGCTGCATCACCAGAGACTGCAGCTTGGTGGCTGAGGCGTCGTAACATAAACCTCGCGCGACCGATGATGACAGTGATTAATTAATTTTTCTATGTTCCGCATTTAACCATGGTTAACAAGCAACCCAAATGTAGCTTGCCATTCATACACAATCAAAGGACACTTCTGTGGCCAAGATCTGTTAGCGGTCAGTCATCACAATGTTGATCGCGAATCATGAGCAAACCATACTGATATGAAAAACAAACGATCCCTTGAGTAGGCATGACAAATACAGATAACATAGTACTCCCTGTATCTGACAAAGTTTAACAGAAAGAAGTGATATATTCGAATGCATAATCTCTAAAAGTTACGTCGCAACTCAGGCACATACTTTTCGAATCTGATTCTTGCACTTCTTTCACCTTACATTCCATGATGCTGAACATAACTGGAATGAACAAAGGAAATGGAACTTCGCAAACAGAACAAACGGGGAAATAATCGCAGAAAGAATGGTTTTCTGAAACCCAGCACAGCTGGTTTCAAAAGCAGGCAAAAATCCTCCTGTTTGTCTTTTGTCTATCGTGGTGGCCACAGAAAGCAGCAGGACAATCAACGGCTGCGGCGGCAATATGTTGTTTGTGAGTGAGTAAAGAACGATAGTGTATGAGTGAACGAAGTGTATCCGACATATCATATTTTTCATCTTCCGCAAACCACGTAGTCGCGCGTCAGTCGCATTAACGCCATTCTTTTTGGCATCATACACTAATTCCAAACCAATAGAGCGAATCCGACTATCATCTGGCGGCTCAAAGCATGGTTTATTCTTTTCAAACGGATTAAAGAAGAAGAACAACAAGGGTCCATGGTTAATCGGAAAGGCAAAGTTGCACAAGAGTGGTGGATTAAACTAAACTAACGAACAGACTATTCGAAAGTTGGAGTACCCCATTATAAAGCAGCAGCAGCAGCAACAGGGCAGACACATCAGTGGAAGTTTATTATGCGACGGGCGAGAGCTGAATCATGAGGTACTGCCAGAAAGACGTATCTGTAACACAGCTGAAAATACGCTAAAAGACTGAGTTATGTGGAGCATCATGTCAGAACCCATTATTAATGCGCTTACGCGTCGCTGATTTACGACTGCGAGGAACTACTTCTCTGAGACCGAAAATCCGTTAGAACAACGCTTCGAGAAAGAACTTTATAAACGACCAGTTGTCGGCACTGAATATTTAAACGTCAAGCGAGTCCGTCAGAAGAATGAAATCCGCTCGGCCTTATCCATGCACAGTAAATGATGAGGACGGAAAACACAATCTTAGAATTAAAGTATTATGCATGTATGAATATATATTTTACCTTATCTGTAAAACCCAAATGAGAGAGCGGCGTGAACACACGTTGCGGTCTGCTTCAAGAAGGCCAGTCAGTTGGCTCTGTCTCTGCCAAAAGAGTTGAAGAACTGATTAAAAAGCAGTGAGACCGGTGGTTTTCTGTGTAAAGCTTCGAGACGCATACGAAAACAAATGAACAAGGAACAATGAATATCAACGTGACGACTGAGCTAACAGACTTCTTCTTAAAACATACATAGACGCCACCCTGACACTCATGCTGATAAAAAAACAGAAAATTCATGAGGTCGATTGCTTCTGAGAAAATGATAAACTTTAAAACATTCGTTCGGTTGCGATGACACAAGCCGTAAAACTTATGAAAATTGATCAAGAAAGCTGAAACTTTTCTTAAAAAGGTTAATTTATATCATGGGTGGAAAAACGATACCTATCTTGAAAATAAAGTAGATAGTCGTAAACCATTTGATGACTTTCCAAAATCACAAACAGCAAACAGACACCCACTCGATCACTCGTAGATCAGAACTTCCGTTCGTGAGTACCCTTAAGAACGGTTTAAAACCTATGCTGCTGATCGTCGAAAATTTTTATACGTTAACAATAACAGAAAACAGATTTCGGATGCATGATTAGCAAACTTCG